CGCTGCGCTGAGCTGTCATCAGTTGCGCTGCGGAAGGCTGTCATCAGTTGCGATGCGCAGATCGATTGCGTCTGCTGCGATTAATTAGATATGAACAGGAAAGTTGCAATCGATGGGTTAACGCTGACCTTAGCACCAACGATGCGCATATCGCGGCTCAAATTTTCCCCTATTTACATGCCTGAGGCGCAAGAAAGGGAAGACAAGTGTTTTATATAATTTCAAGTTCAAGTATATTAATGTTTCCAACAATATTGGTTTAATTCAACTCAAAACTCGACGAATATTTATTGGCATGCAACAGTCTATATAATATATATAAATAAACAATATATGTGATCTATTAAATAGCCTTGTCCGATGTGTATCTCGACATTTTTCTCAAATATCGTCCCACTTGCACGGAGGTGAGGTATGGTCCACTTCGAAGTTCTTCAAAAGCTTCCATTGCGCGATCCACCTTTTCCCTGCGTTCTCTATCTCTTCTTCTCAGGATCCTTCCTTCGTGAGGGAACTGAAAAGGTGTATTTGATAAATGTAGATTTGGACTCAACTCAACATACCGCCTCCATCCTTTTCAAAGTTGCCTTCGCTACCGAGGTGAACGCACGGAAGACAAGGAGTAGCGAAGCCAGAGGCGGATGTTTCTTCATGAGGATTCTCCTCAGTCTTCTGAAAGTAGATTAAATCTTAGTTATTAGATCAATTATACCTATTAGACTTACCCGTGGTAGTTTTCAGCTGCGTTTGTGGTGCGCTCTTCGTGGACCATATACTTACACCACATGTTTGAAAACGGCCCCGCGAGCCATGTGCTGTTCAAATAGTCGAGGAAGTTTTGACATGGCACATAAGCGGGGTGTACTTGGTCCACAGGTGGTGTTTGAAGAGCGTTGACCAAGTGATAACAACTTCTCGGTAGGAAAGGCAGGCCCTTCAACGTACGCCACCATCGGATTACGCGCCCGCACCTTCCTTCCCCTTTCATGTAATGTAGCGGTCCTAGGCTATTTCTTTTTCTAACCCAGGCTTGGCTGAGATGCCAGCTACATCCCTCAACAGAGAAGCGAGGGAACACTCGTCGCGCTGCGTTAATTGTTGCCTAAAATATAGAATATAAATTTATATGGTACAGCAGGGAATATGACTGAAAAAGTACCATCTCGAAGTCTACGATGAACCTGAGTTGCAATTCTTCTGACTCCGCGTTGGCACGTACGAGTGCTTCCCTCAACTGTTGGAAAATCACCATATAATCTATTCTTGCATAACTTTGATAATCTTGCATAACTTTGATACCTTATAATAATCTTGCTAATTTGATAAACATAACTTTGATACCTTATAATAATCTTGATAATCTTGCATAACTTTGATACCTTATAAGAAAGTCTTTCCGCTTTATCTCGCGTTCGCTCTACTGGAAGGCACGAATGATCGAGCATGACAGGATCGTCAAGAAAGTCCTCTCCTTTTACCTAAAATAAGTGAGAACTTTTCTTCTCTTTCAAATTCTTCTTCAATCCTTACCCTTATGGCGGTGTATTTCTTTAATTTCTTGCAATGCATACACACATATGTGCTTGTGTCCGGTTTTGCTGTTTTCCTCGCATATTGAAAAATGTAGGCTAAGCAGCTTCCTGGAATATCATAAACTAAAACCTCATGAACTCCTTTCTTACTTACCTCTTTCACACCCCTATATAGAGGTCTTTCTCTTCTTTCTGTTAGTGGGTTTACTTCCACACGATTTTGTGGTACCGGCTGTTGCTGTTCTTCATTTTCACTGGGGGCCTGTACTTAATATTAATGTTAAGCGTCTAATGTCTATTATCTTTGTTTACATACCTGATAGTATGTGCTGTACTGGAGTGGATGTCTGTAGTATCGTTGTTGGAAGTAAACAGACATCTAAGGAGCAAATTTGGCTTTTGGCTTTACATTTAAAACATTGCTACATTAATTACCTGGTAGTTCATTTCGTAAAATTGTCTTTCATCCCGAACAACGTAAAAGTTCTAAAAGTGCTGGTATAACTAAGAATGCATCGAATCCGTCATCAATCATCAAATACATACCTGATTCTGATTGCTGGCGTAATAGTTGTCATTAGAATTTTGATTGAACGACATGTTGAAGCTATTGTGAGTAATTTAAACCCATTTTATAGTCTAAAATGACCTAATTTGGACGAGCATCTCTATGCTTTCCCTTCAGGAAAGTTGTTGTTGTTCTGTGATTTCCCTTCAGGAAGGCTGTTGTTCTTCTGTTTCTAATCGCAGTGTGTGAAATCTGAGGTGCGAAGTCGAGTTCATCTTCACGCCTCAAATGGTGGTGTGCTTTCCTCGCACCTCAAATTGTGAGTGTATTCTTTAATCGTTTTATTGGCTCTGTAACGTCGATCGCAATCGATCTGCGCATCGCAACTGATGACAGCCTTCCGCAGCGCAACTGATGACAGCTCAGCGCAGCG